AAGAGCAGAATTGACTTTCCATTTCTTTTCATTATTTAACTTAAATTCATAGTGTTTCATGAAAATGTTTAAAAGCTATATTTTTACATTTAATTTTTTAAAACTTAAAAGTTCTGAAGACTGTCAAACTACAGCGGGAAGGCTGGGGGGGGTTGGGTGGCGGGAGTGGGGGGTAAGAGATCAACCGAAGGGCTTATATGCATGCATATAAGCATAACCAATGGACATAAGACACTGGCGGTTAAGGGAGGCCGGGGGAATGTCAAGGGGGGGCAGGGGAAGGAGACATATGTAACACTCTTTCTAATACTTTAAGCAATAAAAATAAAAAAACTTAAAAGTTCTGTATATACATTTTTTCTCAGTTTATTGTTATTACATTCTTTAAATTCTTTGCTTTTGAATTTTAGCTATCGGCTACAACTGCATACTGAATATTACAACAAGGACTGCTAACTCTGTAAGTCTGAAAAACCTTATTGAAATATATATATATAGTGAAGAAACATGAGATATTTGAGGTTGGTGTTTGTTTTCACTGTGAGAAATTGCTTTTAAAATCTGAACTTTTGAATAAATTTGTCCTTACAGAAATTACGAGGCCAAACTGAAGCTCTTTATATACTAACAAAATGTAACAGTACTCGTTTTGAGTTTATATTTACAAATTTGATTCCTGGAAGTCCTAGACTTTTTACTTCTGTGATTGCAGTACACAGGTATGGTAATACTTTGTGGATTATTGAATATTTTTATAATAATTCTATGATATAAAGGTTTAGAGAATAAAGTTTAGAAGTGTGGTGCTATCTTCCTCCAAGCTCTATTGCAAATATCCTGAAGATAAATAGAACACATTGTATTATCATTTAATAAACACTTTGAAGGTATTTATAAAGCACATATGACTATTGAAGATTCATAAAAAAAATTTACTGAAGATTCTATTAGCTACAAAGGTCGTTACAAGCAAATAGAAAACTCATTCAATGTAAATAACAAGGTTATATAATTTAATTAATGATTTTAAAAGATTATTCTTCTAATAATAGAAAATATGTCTGGGTGTTTTCCGCAAAGAGTTTTGTTGTTGTTTTCCTTTGTGGTTGTTTTGGGCTTTTTATTTGTTTGCTGAATTCTTCTCTTTTCACTATTTCAGCTCTTTTTTTTTTTTTTAAATTACTTATTCTTAAACATTTATCTCATGCTCTTTATTGATTTCAGAGAGGAAGGGAAAGGGAGAGAGAGATAGAAACATCAATGATGAGAGAGAACCATTGATCAAGCCCATAACTTGGACATGTGCCCCTGACCAGAATCAAATCCAGGACCCTTCAGTCCACAGGCTGACGCTCTATCCACTGAGCCAAACTGGCCAGGGCACTTTTTTTTTTTTTTTTTTTTTAATCCTAAGTGCTATTATTTTTTTTAAAAGCTTGACTATGATGACAGCAAAATAAATATATATACAAATTTATACACACATAAATACCATTGTTTTAATTTGCACTTCTTTTACTAGTGATGCTGAAATTTTTCTTTTTTTTTTTTTGCTTATTTATAGCTTTCTGTTGTAAATTTCTTAATTATGTCTCTATCAGCCATATTATTGCAAATGTATTTCTTAGTTTCCTAGTTTGTTAGTTTTTAATTTTGTTGATTGTTTAAATCTACACAGTGGTTTAGTGTTTTGTTTTTCTTGTGTGTTTTTTACATATATAATTCATATAACATAAAATGTATTACTTTAAAGTTCACACTTTGGTAGTTTTGGTATATTCACAAGATATCATCACTGCCCAATTATAGTTGTTTCATGAAAATGTTTAAAAGCTATATTTTTACATTTAATTTTTTAAAACTTAAAAGTTCTGAATATTTCCATCACCCCAAAAAGAAACTGCCATAGCAACCACTGATTTACTTTATGTCTCTATGGATTTGCCTATTCTTGACATTACATATAAATGGAATCATATAATATGGTGGTCTTTTATATCTGACTTTTTTTTTTATTTTATTGATTTACTTTTAGAGAGAGAGAGAGTTTTGTTGTTCCACTTATTTATGCATTCATTGGTTGATTCTTGTATGTTCCCTGACTGGGGATCAAACTTGCAAGGAAGCTACCCTCCCAGGGCCAACTTCTTTTTTTTTAATAAGTCAATTGACCCTTTTTTTTTTTTTTTTTTTTTTTTTTAGAGGGAGAGGAAGGGAGAAGGAGAGAGAGAGAAATATCAATGTGAGAGTGAAACATTGATTAGCTCCCTCCTACACACCCCCTACTGGGGATTGAGCCCAAAACCCCAGCCTGTGCCCTCACCTGGAATTGAACTAGCAACCTTTCAGTGCCTGGGACGACACCCAACCAATTGAACCACACCGGCCAGAGCTATGTGTGACTTCTTTCACTTACATAATGTTTTCAAGGTCTATCATGTTGTAGCATATATCAGTATTTTACTCATTTTTATAGCTAAATGATACTCCATTGCATGGACACATTTTGTTTATTCATCAGTTAATAGACATTTTTGTCTATTATGAATAATGCTGCTGTGAACGTTCATATATAAGTTTTGTGTGAAAACATATTTTAGTTTTCTTGGATATATATCTAAACCTTAGCTTTTTATTTCACTTTACCTAGAGAAGTAATGTAAAATCAAGTTTGAAGGGAGCATGGAAGCCGCTTTTTTAAAATAGTATAAAAATGTTGTGTGTTTCCCCAAAAATAATTTACAGCATAGTTTCCATTTTCTCCCCTGATTAAATATTGATAATTACAGCATTGAAGGAAATTAAGATTTATAAGCAAATGTTTGTATCCTACTTTCACAATTTATATATTAGAAGGTTAATTAGAGTAAACTGAGAAAATTAACATTGAGTACTATAATTTATATGAGCGACTTCTAAAGTTATTTAGGCTAAGAAAACCTTTTAGTTTCATTATATGGGTAAATTAGCCTATATTTTTGTGGAGAAAAATTAGAATTAATTAATCAAAAGTTAAGAATTTTCTTACAGTAGCCAAGATATGAAGCAACCCAAGTGCCCATCAATGGACCAGTGGATAAAAAAGTTGTGATACATATGTACAATGGAATATTACTTGGCCATAAAAAAGTGAAATCTGCCCTGGTCAGATAGCTCAGTTGGTTAGTATCATCCCAATATGCCAAGGTTGTAGGTCCAGTCCCCAGTCAGGGCACATACAAGAATCAACCAATGAGTGCATATATAAGTGGAATAACAAATCTCTCTCTCTCTCTCTCTCTCTCTCTCCCATCCTCTCTAAAATCAATAAATGGATTTTTTTTTAAAAGAGTGAAATCTTAACCATTTGTGACAATGTGGATGGACCTAGAGGGTATGCTAAGTGAAATCAGTCAAAGACAAATACCTTATTTTTCACTTATATGTGGAAGCTAAAAAATAAATAAATGAACTAAGAAAATAGAAACAGACTCATAGCTACAGAGAACAGACTAATGGTTGCCAGAGGGGAGGGGGGTTGGGGAACTGGTGAAAAAGGCGAAGGAATTAAGAAGTACAAATTGATAGTTACAAATAGTCATGGGGATATAAAGTACAGCATAGGAAATATAATCAATAATGTTGTAATAACTATGTATGGTGCCAGGTGGGTACTTGAAATATCAGGGAATTACTTTGTAAAGTATGTGATTAACCACTATGCTGTACACTTGAGACTGATACAAAGTAATATTAAATGTTAACTGCAATTGAAAAATAAAATTTTAAAAAGTTATAAATTTTCTTCTGTATTTATTATTTATTAATATAGAGACATGGAAAGAAAACAAAATTATAGAGATTTTATACACACACACAGATACACACACTGTCTGTCCTAGACTCTGTCCTAGGGTTACTTTTGGAATTGGTACAGATTCATTCATATTCTCTATGTAGAGGTAAATGTGAGCATAATTTCTTCAAGTTGTAGTGAGAAAAAGAATAATGGTGCCTTTGACTAAAACAAATGAAGGGGAGCATTTTGATAGAAAAAATAATTTTCATGTCTATTATATAGAAGCATTGTTTCTCAGTTTGAGAGAAAATCTGTGCCCTCTCATTGTGCTGTGTGATAAGTAGTGCCTTAAAATTAGACATCTAAAAAATAGTTTACTGAGATAAAATATGTAAGTGCTACACTAAAATTACAAAATCTACAGAAGACTATAATCACCAAAACTTGCTGAAAAGAAAAAAATTTCAATTTACTGTAATAATTACTTGAGTGATGTATATAAGTACTAACAATTGTATATTTTAACATAAACAAAGAAAACTGCATTTTCAGTTTGGGTTAGCCTCTTGTTTGTTCTCTTTTATAGAGCATATGAAACTTCTAAAATGTATCGTGATTTTAAATTGAGAAGTGCACTAATTCAAAATAAGGAACTAAGGTTATTACCACAAGAACATGTATATGATAAAATCAATGGAGTATGGGAATTTATCCAGTGATCAGGTATTGTACAAAAAAACTAATGAATCTTTTGGGATCAGTGCCTTGATAATCATTTT